CCATGGGGAGTCCCTGTGGGGAGGCGAGGTGGGTCCGTGGGGGCCGAGTTTGCTGGATGCTGGGTCTCATCCCTGTGAGAGATTGAGGAGTCTCCCATAGCCGTGGGGCCCCCATTGGCTCCCAGGGGGGCTGGTTGGGGCTCATGGGCAGGATTGAGGTGGATTCCCCAGGGGCGTGTGCCACTGGTGGGGGTGGGGGAGCAGCAGGAAGACATCCCAATGGAAATGGCTTGAATTTGGGACAGAAGAAGGGATGGGGGAGACTCCTGTAGAAGTGTGCCATGGTTGGGTTGATCAGTGGGGATGGGTCTCATTGGGGAGGGCAGTGGGTGGATCCAGATGAAAGGGCTAGGGTGAATCCTGAGAGGTCCATCCTGTTTGGGAAAGTGGATGTGGGTGGGTCTCAGTGGATGCATCCCATCTGGGGGAAGGGTAGATCCTGATGGAGACCAAGAGACCTGGACACGCAGTTCTGAGGAGGAGGCTGGCTGGGCAAGCCCTGGATCTAGAGGATTTAGGGTCAGCCCAGGTGGCTGTGCCAGGCACCCAAGTGGCAGGAGTTGCAGCCTTACCTTCCTAGCTCGAAGATGCTAGAGCCCATCTCTGGTCCCTGCTTGCAGCTGCTGAAGGCAGCTTGGCCGAGGGCCCTGCCCAGTACCCAGTTGCAACTGGTGGCAGAGGGCGAGATGAGAGAACAGAGGCTGAAGCTCTCCTTTTCATTGCCACTTTGCCTTGGCAGCTTGGTGTCCCCCTCCCTGAATGCCCATGATGGAGAAATACCATGTCCTGGAAATGATCGGTGAAGGCTCCTTCGGGCGAGTGTACAAGGGCCGCCGGAAATACAGTGCCCAGGTGTGAAAAGAGAGGGTGGAGGAGAGGGCTGGGAGGTCCTTCATGTGGGGCTGGGTGTTCATTTCTGGTGCGCTGTTCAGTTCCAGGGCTCTGCCAGGCTTTCAGGGCTCAGCAGTTATTCATGTTTTCACTGATATTCCTGGTCAGCCCCTGCTGGCACAGAGTCATGCATGCCGAAGGGACCGCAGGAAGTCTCCAGTCCATCCCCTGCTTAAAGCAGGACCAGCACTGAATTCAGATTAGGGTTTTGTCCAGCTGGGTCTAGGAAACCCCCAAGGACAGATACCCCACAGCCTCTCCGGTGTTCCAGCGCTTGGCTGTACTTGGAGTGAACAGTTTTTCAATTTATCAAGTTGGAACCTCTCCTGTTTCAATTTATAACCATCTTCCGACCTCTCATCCTCATCCTCCCACCTTGTATCTTTGTAAAGAGCCTGGCTCTTTACCTCTTCCTGACAACTGCAAGACTGCTGTTAGGATCCCCTAAGCTCTCTTTTCTCCAGGCCAATCAAGTGCAGTTCACTCAGGTTCTCCTTGTGCATCATGACCTGCAGCCCCCACAGCCATCCTGGTGGCTTCTGCTGGAACAACTCCATTTTATCAATGTCTTCTGGGCCGAAAGCTGTTTGCAGTATTGCTGATGTGGTCTAACAACGGCCAAGTAAAGGGCAATAGTCACTTTCCTTGATCTGTATTCCTAGAGGAACATACAGGCCTATACGCCTGTTAAAGCTGCCCAGGATGCTTCTAGCCTTCCTCACTGCCAGCACATACTCCTGGTTTGTGTTTAGCTCACTGTCTGCTAGGATCCCTAGATCCTGTCCCATGCTTGGACTGTTTCTGGAAGTGCTATGTGTCCTGGTTTTGTCTGCACTCACTGATTGCATTTCTTTGCTTTCAACGTCAGTATGCAAAGCACTGTGAGCTGCAGCACTGATGTGCAAGGGCTTTGGGGGGAGCCCCAGCTTCAAGGGAGCTAGTGGACAAGTGTCTTGTTTAGAGGTTGTTCACTGCTCAGCTGGAAAATGCAGAATCCCATTTGGATTAAATGCTGCTTTTGCCAGGGTGGGTAGGACCTTGATCTGATCCCAGCTTTGCCCATTTTGGAAGGTGGTGGCCTTGAAGTTCATTCCCAAGGTGGGGCGGTCAGAGAAGGAGCTGAAGAACCTGCAGCGGGAAATTGAGATCATGAGAGGCCTCCATCACCCCAACATCATCCAGATGCTTGACAGCTTTGAGACCGACAAGGAGGTGAAGGGGCCAACCCGGGGCACATGCTTTTGCTTGATGGGGGAAGGGAGCATGGGTTGGCACCGCCATCACCTACCACTGACACAGGGACCTTTTTCTCAGAGGATTCTGGTGACACCCTCCCAGGGCTTCTACTAGGTCTTCCAGCAAGACAGGTTTGGTCTGATCCCAGTGCTGACTTGGGCCCTTTTTCTCTACTTGTGTTGAATGCTGCAGTCCTGCCGCCAGCCTACTCCATTCCCTGTGGTGGCTACTTTGGGATCCCTTGCCCCCAGTGCATTCCCTCCCTCCTTGGGGATATGCAGGGACCTCGCTTTGCCTGAGCAAAGACTGGGAGACCAGACTGGTGGGTAGTCATTGTTTTCCAGAACCCTCTGGTATGTGCTGAGTGGGGAGCCAGCAACCAGCTGGGCTGTGTGGGGTGCACTGGGTCGTGTGCGGAAGTGAAGGAGCTGCGGGGGTTTGTCTGATGGAAGAGAAGTGATTTGGAATTGCGGGAGGAGGGTGGGTTCTTCAGAAACTGGGACTTTTCCCTAATCTAAACTCACGTGCAGAAAGGGTGAGAAGGGAAGGACTGAACACTGTGTTATGGGGCAGGAACTGGGGGGCGTCAAATAAAGTTGTCAGGCAACAGATTCAAAACAAGCTCAAGGAAGTGATTCTTTCTACTGGGCTTGGAAATACCATTATGAACTTGTCCCCTTCCTTTACTCTTCCTGGCTTCTGCTGTTTGTCCAAGATAAGGAGGGCCGTGAGAGCACTGCTAAGGGACTGGTCCTTGCTGCATTGCAGCCACGGGGGCCCTTTCTTGCCCCTGAACCCAGCCCAAGCTGATCAGCTGTGTCTTGTGAGGTCCTGACAATGCACTGGTTTCCTGTCTCACTCTGCTCTGGTCTCCAGGACATGGTGGGGACATGGCTGGATGAGTGCCTGATCCCTCCATGCTGTTTTTCTCTCCAGGTAGTGGTGGTGACTGACTATGCAGAGGGGGAGCTCTTCCAGATCCTGGAGGACGATGGGAGTCTGCCTGAGGACCAGGTGACTGTCACAGCTGTTGCAGTGGTGGCCGCTCAGAGGCCTTCTTGCAGGGTGAAGAGCACAGGATCATTGGTCAGGCAGTGGGTCTCTGCTGTGGGCCAGGGGGAATCAGGAAGGTGATGGTGCCTCTAAGGCTTTACCTAGCAGAGCCTCTGGAGAGGAGGAAAAGGGAGCCAGGTTGCACTGGGGAATGGTGGTCTGGCAGGGACCTCGGCTTCCCTGTTTGCTCTCCAAGAGCCACAGCACAAGGCTGCTGGCATGGCCATTTGCCCTCTCCTGTGGGTCAGAGAGGAACCAGTGGTACATGTCTGCGGCTGATCTCTGCCCCAAACAGGGCTAGGACAGGCAGGGGGGTTGCTGGGGAGCCAGGCTATGGGGAAACCTGTAGCTTTGCTAGTGGGGACTGGGGGCACTGTGGGATACAGTGTAAGGTTCCCACATCTCTGGCAGGTCCAGACCATAGCTGCCCAGTTGGTCTCTGCTCTCTATTACCTGCATTCCCACCGTATCCTGCACCGCGACATGAAACCCCAGAACATCCTGCTGGGAAAAGGCGGCGTCATCAAGCTCTGCGACTTCGGGTGGGTGCTGAGGACCAGCCAAGGAGGGCACTTGGATTTGGGACAGCTGAGGGGTGTCCTGGGTGTTGGAGAGGAAGAGGGAGTGTGGGAGGGGACCTGGCCTCTGTGCGTACTCACGGATTGGCAGGGGTGGGTGTTGCTGGACTGCAGAGGGGAGAGAAGTGTTAGTGCATAGGAATCTTCTTGAGGGCTGCAGCAGAGGCTTCAGCCCTAAATGGCCACTCGTGTTTTGCTCTGAGCAGTTTTGCCCGTGCCATGAGCATCCACACCATGGTGCTGACCTCCATCAAGGGCACCCCCCTGTACATGTCTCCTGAGCTGGTGGAGGAGCGGCCGTATGACCACACAGCCGACCTGTGGTCCGTGGGCTGCATCCTGTATGAGCTGTTCGTGGGCACCCCTCCCTTCTACACCAGCAGCATCTTCCAGCTTGTCAGCCTCATCGTCAAGGACCCGGTCAAATGGCCCAAAGCCATAAGTCCAGTCTTCAAGGTAAGGGTGAACGCCCTGCCTGTAGGGGGAGATCCGTTAATGGGAAAGCCTCTTTGGCTGCACTCATAGGTCAGTCTTAGGTTTTTTCTCCCCTAACGGGGATCTCGGAGCACAGTGAAGGGATGAGAGGTTGGACCCCAGGAGAGGGATCCATATCGCTGCTGCCCTTCATTAAGTGGGGAAACTGAAGACAAGCAGCAGAGGAGTGACTTACTGGGCTCAGAAGGGAAGTCTTTCTATGGCCCATCTCCTTAAGCACTAGATCTACTTCTTTCCTGGAGCCAGACAGAGAACCCGAGAATCCTGGGTGTCCTCACTGAGGGAGACTGGTGTGTGCATTGTGTCTCTGGAAGATGTGTGGCAAGCACTGAGCATGTGTCGGTGCCTCTGGTGCTGTGTTGCCCTGCAGAGCTTCCTGCAGGGACTGCTGATGAAGGATCCTCGCCAGCGCCTGTCATGGCCAGAGCTGCTCTCTCACCCCTTCATTGCCGGACGGGTCACTGGTGAGTACCAGCTCTTTTTCCAGCACTGTTCTAATCTGTTTCCTTCTCTTCCTCCTGCTGCCAGCACCACTCTGCCCTACTTTTCTTACCACCCCATTCTTTGCTGCCTCCGTCTTGGCATCCTCCACGCACCACCTCCTAACCCCTGCCCCTGGGGTGGCTCTGGGTCCCTTGGGGTTTCTCTGGGGTCCCAGAGCTGGTCACTTTCCCAGCCTCCCAAGGGAGATCTGCTGACAGAATCCTCCCCTCGCCTCTCCAGTGATTGATGACACAGAAGAGCATGGGATCTCAAACCCCTTCACCAGCAAGCTGTCCCCAGAGCTGCAGGCCCTGAAGGAGCAACAAGCCCATTCCCTGGCTCCCAGGAGTGGCCAGTCCAGGATCCTGAGAAAGGCCCGGCAGAAGATGGCTGAGGAGGCCCGGAAAAAGGTGGAGGGAAGTGTGGGGTCCCCCTGGCTGGGCCCCACAGTCAGGGTCAAGGAGGGCACTGAAATGGGACCTACTGGGGAGGAGAGCAGGTACATGGGCCAGTCTGGGGTATCAGCCATGTACAAGGGAGGATGTGGGGTCCTCAGGCTGGTAGGGTGTAGAGGGCTCAGCTGGCTGCCTGTGTAACCGTGCCCTGACCAAATCTCTCTGTCATCATCCAGGGACAGTTGAAGACGGACACTGCATCTATGAAGGACCCTGGCAAAGGATGCCCAGGGCGTAAACCCAGAGCAGCTCCTGGGAAGGCAGCTCTTGGGGAAGGAGAGCCACCAGCTGCTGCCAAAGAGAAAAACCCAGGCATCCTGCAAGGAGGGAGCAGCGTGGCAGAGTGGGAGCTGGAGGAGCCTCCTCCAAGCGCAAGGTGAGGGAGGGCCAGGGCTGCGAGGGGAGACAGGAGGGAAGGCAGGGCAGCTCTCTGACTGTGCTATCTCTGTGACCAGGGAGCACAGCATCACTCGAGACTATGAGCAGGAGTTTCCTGGACCAGGGACCTTTCTGGAGCCTGGCCCTGTCAGGGCAGAGCCCCGGGGCAGACACAGCATTGAGGCTGTGGATCTGGAGAGCGAGGTCAGATGGTGTCCTGTGGTGAAGACAGCAGGGCCCAATCCCTAGCACCTGATGCAGGGACCCTGGGAGGGGCAGGGCCTGTGACACCATCCCGCTCTCCTCCATGGTTAGGAGCTGGAAAGTGATGAGGAGTGGCAGCATCTGATCGAGGCCACAGAGCCTTCAGCCATGCAGCTGAGCGCGCCACTGAGCCTCCTGAGGGACTCGGCCTTCCGGCAGCGCGTCCGGGCCCGCCTTGCAGACTCCAGCCAGCAGGTGAGCGATGGTTGGCCCAGCCAACTAACACTGGGGGCTCTGAGCAGGCACGAATGCCTTTTCCTTTCCCAGGGTAGGACTGCGGGCATTGGGAGAGCAGAGCCCCCAGTCCAGCCAGAAAGGAGATCCTCAGCCTTCCCCAGGGACTGGAGCTGTCCCACGTACTTTAGGTGGCCATGTGTCCCCCTGTTGTTCCCTGCCTTAGAGGGTGGAGGGCAGCACCACAGTTGGCAGAGGGGCTATTACATCCATAGCCACAATCACCGCTGATCGTGAGCCCTTCTGGCTTCTCCATGTCCAGGTGCTAGAAGGGATGCTGGAGGGAGCCTCCCATCTCCGTCCTGCACTCCGTGTCGTGGGCAACCTCCTGGCTACCCAGTGTGACTCGGAGCTTCTGGACCACTTTTGCCGAGAACTGGATATGCCTCTGTCCCTCCTGTGTTTAGCCAAGCAGATCCTGGAGAGTGGTAACACCAAGCAGGTGGGCAGTATGGGGCTCCCTCCAGCCCTGCCGAGTGCCAGTGCCAGGAGGGAGCTGGAGAGATCACAGATCCTCCTGGAGGCCCCTGTGTCCCACTGGAGCTGGCTCGCAGGACTGTCACTTCTTCCAGGCCCCCTTGAGAAGGGGGAGGTCCTGACAGGGAAGGATCCCACCACAGTGGTGTTGGGGTGGCCAGTGGACCATCCCCACTTGCTGTTTCTCTCTGGCTCCTGCAGCAGCCCTGGTGTATTGTGGTGCTGGCGGACCTCATCATGGTGACCACAGCTTATTTCAGCAGTGAGTGCGGCCTGCAGCAGAAGGGCAGGTAGGGAGGCTGCAACCCAGTGTGCTCTGAGGTCTCTTTCCACCTTATGACCACTGCGGGGGCCCAGCTTGGGGCAGTAGGGAGGTGATTCTGCTCTGTGCCTGGAGCAATCTCCATGGGGAAGCATCACAGTAACTAAGCACTTTGTGCGACACACTATGCTCAGAGAGTATCACTTTCCATAGGTGGGGAGATTGCGGCACTGGGCTAAGAAGGGGGGAGGCACAGCTGAGAAGAGAGTTCAGAGGCGCTGCCTGCTGGCCCTGGCTTACAGAGCGCAGTCTGCTGCCTGCTCCATTAGCCAGGGCAGTGTGGGCCTGGTCGGATCCTGTCTTTGCAGGCAAGGGCCATGTTTCTCTGCTCTTCTCTGCCTCCGCCAGCTTGCAGGCCTTCCAGGAGAGTGCCGGCCACTTCCTAGCCCTGCTGCCGGAGCTGCTGGCCCAGTCGGCTGACAGCGAGATGAGACTTTGCCAGCAAAGCCTCCTGGTAAGGGTGCGCCAGCCTCCTCTCTCCCATGGGACTGTCCCCACCCTCTCCCCCAGGTATGCAAGCTGTGAGGCTGATTGCGTGCGCTGGGAGGAGAGTAGGCTGACGACCACTCCTCTCAGCTGTGGGGGTCTCATACATTGGTGGCAGGGCAGGCTATCTTACCCACTGGAGGTTTTGGGGGATCACATGTAGAAAGGAGCACCTGAGGTGCTGAAGGGTTACTTTCCCTGGCTGTGTGCACCCCTCACTCAGCCAGCGTGCAGCCATGTGCACCTCCTGTGCAGCAACAGAGGGACCTGAGTGACTGGAAAGAGCATTGGTCCATGTACTCCCAGACC